CTTTCTGCCTGTGACACGGTGAAGTCTGGATTGTGTTAGAACAATCTGAGGTGGCTTGGTATCTTGTGTGGATGGTATTGCTTAGTGGCAAGAGACTCAGAGGCACAAGCAGCAGTTGTATAACTTTGGTGACAGGTCCAAGACATTTTGCTGCTTGAGGTGAAGTATAAGATTCCTTCCGATTTCTAATGGCTACATTCTGCCATTTCTCATATGTCCTTTTGCTAGAGCATCCTGTTTCTAAAGTACAGCTTCAAGCCAAGGCCTTCCTACAGGGGCATTATATGGGGGGGGCAGCTTGTGACAGCCACCTAAAGAAGGGATGGGGTACCTTGCTCTCCAGATGTTGTTGGACTTCAACTCCCATGGTCCCTGGCCATCAGCTACGCTGGCTGAGGGTGATGAGCCCAGCATCACCTGCAGCTGGAAGATCACAGGTACCTCATCCCTATCCTAAAGCTACTGTAGGCGAGAAGATTATAAATATAGATCTAACTTGTAAGTGGAGCTGCACTCTTTCACCTGCTTGCTCACCTGTTTTGTCACACGTGGGACATCACAACCTTCTGCTTGTATGAAGATTGCAATATGAAGAAAAAAACAGCCTGAGTTTAGGGTCTTGCCACATGTCATATTAATCAATTGCTGTTTCTTCACCTGTCTCCCACCCAACATCTACACCTGATGTTCAACTGTTCTGTTTTGTATCCAGGTCTTCTTGTGTGTGTAAATAAAGGGTTGAGGGTCTTAAAGCATTTGATATGATTGAAGACGGGTTGCTGGATAGGTGGCTGATGCACTGTTCAAAATGTGGACCAAGATTAAATTGCTTAAACAGTCTCTGTCTAAGAGAATTATGAAGAACACAAGGGGGCTGCATTGAGCACATCCCAGACCAATACCATTTCTCTCCAGTTACCCTGTGTTCCCACATAATTATAGCTTATGCATCTCCATCACTCCTAAACATTTGGTGAGGAAACAAACAACGTTCCATTTTTTTAAAAAAAAACTTGGATATAATCACTTATTTATTTTAAAGTAACTGTTCTGTTGGAGGGGTTCCCTACTGTAGTTCCATGGTGTTTCTGCTGTGGAGGGTCCACCAGCCTCTGCCTTGACTTGCTAAGGCACCTCTTCTCCCTCTTGTGTGGCAGCCATGTCAAGGTGGTTTTAAGGAAACAGGGACCAAAAATGCTTCTTCCTGTTTCCTGAGCCCCAGGACCTTCTTCCAATGGCCCCAACTCCAGAAGAAGAGATTCCTTTGCAAAGGAAAGAGATCTTTGAATAGACTCGCTTTTCCTCCCATCACAGTGTTGTGGAAGGAAACCTCTAGTTCCTAGAGCAGTATAATGGGGAGGAAAAGAGCTAGAAATCCCACCCCACCCCCTTATTTGGACTGGTCTGCCTGCCTGTGTGAATGTGTTTGTCTGTCTGTGTATGCCCCTCACTGCTGAGGGGATGTGTGAGAGACACTGCTGCCTGGCTACCTTTGTGTCCTGCCTTTGGCAAGCGAGCCTAGCTGAATCTGTAAATGTTGTGTGTTCACTTGTCTACCTGTTTGTACCACCTCTGCTCAGTGCATATGTGTGTGTGCACCTGCTTATGTGCATTCATGTGTGGTCTGCATGCACACAGATGTGCTGTATGGGGTGTGCACACAAGTGCATGTTGGCCAAATGAACCACCTTGTAGCCTTGCAGGATGAAAGGGAAATGTACGGCTTAAGAATTGCCCCTGCATTAAACCCAATCATTTTCTGCAACAGCAGCAATACTTGCCCTTTAACTATTGTATGTAAAACTCTACTTGATGTTTGCATATGCTCTCGTCCTTAATGTTTTAAACAGGTTTTATTTCATTTTTTAATTCTATTGTTTTACTACATTGCTATTTGCCACCCTGGGCTCTTTTTCAAGGAAGGGCAAGATGGAAATTTAATGAATCAAAATAATATTGTTCACAATCCATTTCAGACTTAGGAAATCAGGTTTAGGATAATACAAAAACATGGGATTGGTAGGAACCTATTTCTAACCCACTTAAATTTGGTGCAGCTTACTCGCAGGTAATTGTGTAAAGGATTGCTGCTAAAGGCAGAGAAGATCCCAAAGGTTTGTTTTAAGTTGAGTCTACTGGAAAATATTTGACTGAGGTGGGAGTCCTAGCAATCATAATTTTGAAGAGAAGAAACATTAAACTATCCTAAAAAGAAAAGGTTTCAATTTCCCTGGATTTTATTGCATGCTGTTTCTTTCACAAACCAAAGCAATAATAGAAAGAAATTATGACGTGAAGATGAATAGAGCAATAAATGTGGCTCTGAAAACAACAGAATGCCAGTTTGGTGAGTTTCCATAAGGAAGCTCTTGTCTGTTGTGAAATGCATTAAATTGTTGCTCTGAGCTGAAGAAAGGGCACTTTCTATCATACAGGCAATATTAACTAAATACATAGGGCTGCCTTATTTTCCTGACCAAGTCTCTAAACCGTTACTAGCAAAGCAACAAGCAGAAATTGAACATGCAAAAACCCTCCTAGCACAAAGACAGTGGTTGGGAGAGCTGCACCTCTTGAATATCTGCCTGCTGCGTGGCTGTCAAAGGCACAGTGTCTCCAGAAGAAAAATGTGATAACCCAAACTGACTCCAACAAACTACGCAGTCAGCTTTTCATGCTAGAAGTTTGACAGAAAGGGTGAGGATTTTAGAACTGAATAAAAAAATCACTGATCTGGACCAGCCTTTTCAGGAAAGTCTTTCTCTCACACACACACTGTCTATCTATATGCAAATACCATAGAAGAATAAAGGTATTTTGTGACAAACAAGCCGTTAAGCTGTTTGGGAGAGTGGTTTAAATGGTTACAGACACAAAAGTGAATCCAGTACTATAGCTCATGGCGGAATTAAAGGTTAATTTCAGATCAGTTTCTTGTTGTAAAACCAGGAATATAGTTGGAATTCTACACAAGAAATATAAATCTCTCCATAATAAACTGAATAAATGTTCAGCTAATTCCTAAATGAATCCTTGTGACTACTGCTGGTCATGCATATTTTGCTGAATTTACAAAACATAAATAACGTAACATACTGTTTACAGGCAAGTCCTGACAAGAAATTCATGACCCAAAGTGAGGGCTAGCTTTTATGCTAACCGCTGATTACTGTCACAGAAACGGAAATCTTTGTGCTGTGTTATATAAACACACACACACACGCCCCAAAACCAAGTGCTAAATTAAAGGATTTAACAGTGAGATCCTAAGCAGGTTTACTCAGAAGCAAGTCACATTGTGTTCAATGGGCCTTACTCCCAGGTAAGCATGCATAGACTTATAGCTTTAATCTATATTATCCAGAGAGTTATTTGCACCCTGCAACATGTTCCCTCCTGAATAAGCCTAAAGAGGAATCTAGGAGGACTGCCTTTGAGGTTGGCAAAGTTGAGGTGACCTAGAGCTTGTGGGATTCAAGAGCAGCTAGATCATACAGGCTTCACTGATTCAGACCTTCATCTCTTTACAGAATTGCTGAGGCCCTCACATCATTCATTTGTTAAGAGCCTGTTATAAAACACCAGCTCAAAGTCTGCAATGACTCAAACGCAGAGCACAGGTGTTTCATAAAACAGGTGAGCCTAGCACAGTGGAATAAGCTCATCCAGCCTCCACTTGACAGCTTCCCCCTCTTCAGTTTGATGGTTACTCCCCCCCCCCAACACAAAGTCATGCTAATTCATTAGGTGCAGCTTTCTCTTTCACTGCCTCTCTATACCAGGAGTCTGTTGAATTTCTGCCTATCAGCCAACTATTTAAAGAAAGCCTGGGGTGGAAATCACAACACTCCCTGAGTTTGGGGAGTGGGCTGGGCATGTAAATGATGAGGTGAAAGAGGGAACGTATGTCTTCTCTAGGGAAGGATAGCACAGTCCATAGACCATAAGACTCTTAATCTCAGGATTGTGGATTCAAGCCCCACATCAGGCAAAAGATTCCTGCGTGGCAGGGGTTGGACTAGATGACCCTTGTGGTCCCTTCCAGCTCTATGATCAGTGAAGAAATAGCATTGCCCGCAACACTTTTATTTTGTGCAGCAAAGCGTGTACTGGGTTCAAATCCCCACACTGCCTTGGGCAAGTCATACTGCCTAGTAAGTTCAGAAAGGACTAAGTCCTACCCCATGGGCTTAGCCAAGGGGGGCAGCTGCCCCCCATAAAAAAAACTCCATAAAAGTACATAGGAAACTGAGGTTCTCTCCCCCCCCCCAACAAAAGGCCTGCCCCCCTAACAAAAATCCTGGCTGCTCCCATGTCCTACCCTATCTTATTTTTGTGTTCTGTGCCCACAAAGAGGAGCCAAAGGCGACCACATGTTCCCCACACCCCTGAACAGATCCAGCAAATCCGGCAGCACAATTCGCATAGGTCAGCTTTTCAAAGGTCCCACGAGGTGCCCTATAAAAGGGCTGTGCCTGCCATATAAGGCAAAGCCATGCTTTTTTCTATAAAAAGACAAACCAACAAACCCTCGTTGTATAAGTAATTTTCTGATGTCACCATCGCCACTGGACGCGTTCTTCTCCTTGACACACGCGCAGCATAAAAAGTTGCAAGAGAAGCAAACTTCCCAAAAGTTTGCATTAATATTTTTTTTAATTATTATTAAAAGTAAAGAGCTGTTTTGGCAGAATGCGACATGCATATGTGGCATACGCGGAAGGCGGCTCCGTGTCCGCAAAGTCTCTTGCCTGTAACGAGCAGGAAACGAGGAACTCGGCGACAAACTGTTATCGAGGATTGTCCCTCGCTGCTTACACAATGCGATACGGTGACAAGTTGCATAACCGGCGACGGCGGGGTGTGTGTCTTCAAATTCAAGACTCCCGAAAGAAATCCGTCAAAGCCCCCCTATTAACCTGCCTTGCCCCTCCACCCCCACCAGACCCGTCAGTGTCCCCAGTCCCCAATAAGGCATCTCTGGGGCATGCAACGCTTACCCAGCGCGACCCCTTTCTGCACGCTCCTCAGCGCTGCCCGGTAGTCTCTGCTTCTCAGCAGCTCCTGCAAGTCGGTCTTCAGCCTGGCCACTTGAGTGCCTTTGTCCAAGCATTTCTCCAACAAGTCACACAGCAGGACGTTGCAGGCCACCGTCCGCGATCCCAGCAGGACGGACTTCCCCCCACAGAGCCGGCACTTGGAGGGCAAGTCTCCTCCGAGGCATCTTCTGCAGAAGGTATGGCCGCACGACACGGTCACTGGGTCCCACAGAGCCCGCTGGCAAAAGGCGCACAGGAAAATATCCATGGCTCCTGCCACGGAGAGAGAGGGCAGGCAGGCGGCGGGGCTGGCTAAAGGGTGCCTCCCAGGGCAACGGGCGAAGGGCGATCGCCTCTGAAGAAGAGCGGCATCGAAAAGGTGCGGGGATGGAATCGGGGGCGGGGGGTGGGAAGAGGATTTCCCTGGAAAGCCGAGTCTCCCGTGGGAGCAACTTGGCGTGGCGAAGTAGCCTCCTGCAGCGACCGGGGACACTTTCCCAAAAAGGCCGGGAGGTTCACCTTCCTGCTTTTGGGGGGGGGGGCAAGACCACGAGCCGAGTGGCTCGCTCGCTCTTAAAGGCGCAGCGCTCTTCCCCGGAGGTTCCCCACGCAGAGCGCACTCCGGAGAACTTTGCAACGGATCGAGAAGCAGCAGCTGGTGCAATGCGAGCAGCTTTCCGCTTTCACTTTCCTTTGTTTATTGCGGGTCGTCGTCCCACCCTTTTTTATTGCCCCTATTTCATCCCTTTTCACCCAAGAGGTGCCTGCTCAGCCTCGTCGCCCGAGACATAGAAGCTTTCCAATGCATCCAGACAGACACCAAAACAAAAACAACAGAGGGAGGCGGCGGCGCAGGGGAGGATGACCCTTTGTCCCCACCACGACCGGGGAAAAGTCAAGCTCGCTCGCAGCGCGCCACCCGCCGCTCCTCTGCCGCGTCTGCGCGGAAACTAAGCGAGCAGGTTACTTTTTGGAGAGGTGCCGGCCGGGGAGGAGTGGAGGTTGCTTGTGTAAGTGCGAGCTCCACCCGCCCCCTTCTCCTCAAACTCTTCTGACGGGTCCTGCTGCGATCGTGCCAGTTCGCCGACGCGCTGCCCATCCGCTCCCCTTTCCAAGAGGCTGAGAGAGAAGCGAAAAGCATCCGATTTCCTCCCTCACCTCTGGATTCATGCAGAGCGCACCGGCCGCCTCTCCGCGTGCGGAGTTGGGGCGAGTTAGCAGGAGGGGAGAAGCGTGGCGGCAGGATTTGCAAACAGAAAAAGCACAATCGGTCACTTTTTTCCCCCCTGCTCACTCGCCAGATTGCTCCCCCCCCCCGCACCGACCCCTTTGGTTACCTTCTGAACACAGGCGCGCGCACAAACATGAAACAACAACAAAAAAGGCCCGAATATTACATAAAATGTGGAGTAGCCCCATGTGATGGAGCCGGAGAGCTGCTCCATTGGCTGCCGGCTTCGGCCCGCCCCTGTTGTGAAACAGCCATTGCGGAGCGTGTTTCATAACCTCTGAAATGGGCAGTTCGGAGTTTGGAGGTGGGGGCGGGAAGGGAAGACGGAAGAGAGAGAGAAGACCCTACTTTTGGGGGGGGACTGGGATCTGTTTTGAAGTTCCCAACCAGGAGGGGGGAGTGGCGATTGCTTGCGAAGCGCAGTTGATGCATTGCAAGAGGCCAAGACTCCTGGGTCAGCCCTGCGTGTTCTCGCAGGCAGCCCTTAGTCAACCTATAGCCCTTCAGCTCGCCGTTGCCTCTTCGTCGTTATGCTTCCCCCGGTGAAATGACGCTCCCGGGAAGTATTTGCATGCAGAGTACAGTACAAAATGTTCCGGATCTGAAATGATTGCTCATGAAATGAGCAGCGCGAGCAATCCCAGGCAAGTTTGCTCGGAAGAACCAAAGTGCCAGGGAAAGGCGTAGCTGGTAGGTGAGCTGTTCCCTTCCTTATAGGGAGCAGGACCCATGGAAGAACCTTGTGGAAGTGGCCTTTTGGGTGTGGTGTGGACAACGCAGCAGTAGGGGACAAAGGTGGCATAATTTACTGGGTGGCTGTCAGGCTTACTTGGGTGGCCATGGGGCAGGCTTCCCCTTGCGACCCAAACAATTTCATAGGGTTGTTCTGAGGAGGCTAAAAGGGACGTGGAGGAAAGAACACTGCCTCAAATGTTTGCGCAAATCGCCAGAATAGAAATGCACTAAATAATGTATCTGGTAACTTGTGAGCCATCAGGATCATTCAGTTCCCCTTCTGTTTGTCCCCCATCATAGGAGTGGTGTGGCCAATCCATAGGCCTGTTTAGCTCCCCCAGGCCTCCCCATTTGGCCCACCAGACCATTTGGGCCAAGGCACAACCCTGACATCAGGTGTGGGACACGTAAACACAGAGCTGGGCCAAAGGGGGGTCGGAATTGGAAGATGCTTTGAAGTCTCAAACAGTCAGCAGATTGAGCTTTAAAGTGCAAATTGCAAGCACCAACGATCAGCTGATTGTCAGTGCTTGAAGATGAGTGGCATTAGAGAGTTCTGCTTTGGAAAGAAAGAAAAAAATGCTCCAGTTAAAGGAGCATTAAGAGGAAGTTGCTGTAGGCCCTGATGGGCAGTTACAGGGACCTCCTTTGTCAGCTGTTAAAGTTCAATCATCCAATGTGATTAGAACATAAGGTGATTGGCAGGTAGGTGGTCCCACTCTCCTGCCAAAGTTGAGAGGGTGAGGAGAATCTACCATCTTGAATTCAGAATGCAATAAAACTGTAATAGTCTCTTAGAGTTTGTTTGTTTTTTTTAAATAAGAATCTTCGTTTACATCTATCAATCTTAAATGTTATGTTTCCGTCTCTAAAATGGGCACACTTTTTTGGGAAAGTCTTCTACTTTCTTAATTACTTGATGATATAATGTCAGGTTTCAGAAACTTCATTGAATTATTTGCTCTGCACATAGTGCACTTTCCTGCTTTCCATTTGGGGTGCAAGTTGTGTTGGTCTGCGGTTGCTGGATGCCATGTGTGGATAGAATCGACTCGTGTCAGGGGGCTTGTAAGTACAAGCAATGGATGGATGAGGTGGAAAAGGGGGAATCTGTGTGAAGAAGAGTGGTGGTACTGCTTACCTGGGTTTGGTTTCCTTTGGAGCAGAGAACACTGGAGACATGATATTTTTGAATAGTTGAGTTTCTTTACAAATATGCATGTAGAACATGGATGGAGACAAACTAAACATCCCCAAAACAGCATTTTCACTGCCCCACATCAGATCTCCAGGTGCTTTCTGCTTACAACTCCAAGCTTGAATCTCAAGGCGCAATTTCTCTTTTGTTCCTTTTCACAGACACACCTGCCTTCATTCAATTAAGCCAAGGGGCCTCAGGAAATACTCAGAATATTCCAGAGATTTAGGTACCAAGAACCCATCTTTTAACACTCACAGACATTCATTAAGGATCACCAAGCAGCCATTACACAAGAATATAAGAAGAAGTGTCAAAGGGCCCTCTAGCCCAGCAACCTGTTCTCTCAGCCTATGGGAATCTCACAGATGATTATGGGAAGCTCTCAAGGAGCCTCACCATTCTTTTTCCTGACAAAGCATATGAGCTGAGTGATGAGCAGGGCTTGGCCACCTTTCATAACACCATTGTAGTCAGCACTGCGAAAGAGGGCAGAGGCAGATGGCTACTGGGATGGGCACAATATCAGGGAGTCTTAGAAAAACAGTTCACACACATTCATCGCTGAGCTTAGAGCCAGTTTGCAGGTTACCACAGCCACACAGAAGCCATCACAGGAAATGTTTTCTCAGACCATGGACTCCATTCCAAAGCAAGACTTCCAAAATGGTCTTCAGTGTAGGAAATCAAGAGCTGTCTTCATTCTCTTGGGCATAACACGAATTTCCCACAGTTCACCAATGTCTTTTGATGCAAAGTTTGCTAATTGTACACCATCTTATGTATCCTTCCCCTTAGCATTCAAAGTTACACATGACTTCCCACCCCCTCACAAAGAAGTTATTGGGGGTAATTTCAGAGAAGAAAATTGGAATAGCTGATTGCCATGGAAACAAACTCTCTACGCATTACATCGTCATGCAGATCGTGGAATAAATGCATTTTAAGATGTGAAATGCTACCGAGGGGGCTGGTGTGCTTATGCAGTAAAATAAGCAGATATTTCAGAGAGGGGAAATTGGTGCCCTTGGGATGTTGCAGAACTGCAGCTCCCAACAACCCTCTCCATTTGCCATGCTAACCGGGACTGATGGGATATGGAGTCCAGCCAAAGGTTTCCGCATCCATGCCTGTTATTGTGAGTTTAACAGCCTGTCTTTTTTTGGTTGGTTGGTTGATTGTGCTTGTTATGTAGAGGGCCGTGCATATTGATGGTTGTGTTATATAACTAAGTAATAACAACGTTATTAACCCACAAAGTATCTGTAAGCATTCCTAACTTATCTAATTATTTTAACAATACTCAACATCTTCTTTAAAAATGTATTTTTTTAAGGGAGTGGCGTGCCCCACTTCCCTTGCTAGTAAGAAATTTGAGAGGTTTGCCACTTATTGCTCTGTTTCCTTGCAATAAAAAAAGTGAAGATTTATGGTGTATTTGTAATTTCTAGTTATTTTCAAATATGCCAGTATAGCATATTGAGACCAATTAGATTTACATCAGACAGAATAAATGCTAATCCTGTTTTGGATTCCCCATTAGCAATAGTTGCATCCCTCCTTCAGGCAGCTCCAGCTCTCAGTCTGTCATTGTCCATTTTCAAACTGCCTTTGCTTTGTTTTTCTGCCGCACACAAAGTTTGTTTTCAGTTGTGATTGGAAGGCATGGTTTCCCACTACATGAGGCAGCCTGACATGCTCCATCTCCCCTTATTTCCTGTTTCACACCCCAAGATGGATATTATAAGCTTCACGGACTGGTTTCAAACAAGCCATGGCATTATGATCTTTGAACTTTGGGAACTCTGGTTTGTTTAAACCCTGGTTTGAGAGAAAGCCACAGATCAAAACACTGGTATAAAGGGACAGAAGCAGCTGATTCAAAAGTTGGCAATCCTACTTGAAATAAAGCAACACTGCCAAAGTTTGCAGCAGTATGAGTTAATATGAACTGGGGCTGATTGGGGAATATTGCAGAGTGTGATTTGGCTATAACTGGTGCTTGACTGAACAACAGAATACAGAATATGATACCTTTTAATGAAATGCGAAAGGATCTCTATACTGTAGATGCTTCCTTCATGCAACGTTGGAATTTTAAACAGGTTTATTAGGCATGCCCATTAAGAAATAAATCTATTACTGTTTTATCTCCATTGCACCAGTATGCAAGGGAACATTCATCCAAGACTCAATGTGGCTGCCCAGCCTCCCCAATAGATTTCAAATCACTTCTATTTTTCACCAATTTTAATGTTGGGCCATTTTTTTTCATCCACTTCTTTCCTGATTCGGATGCCGTCTGTTGGTGAGGGTTTTTAAAGAATAAATAAATAAGTGAGCATGTATGTACCGATAGGGGATTTGTTGCCCCACCATCTCAATCCCTATGGTACTGTTCGACCAAAAGCTTTCATGTTCAGATACAGTCGCAACCCTGATTGTGTGACTGAAATCAAATGGATTTATTATGGGGTTCTTTTCAAAAGAACTGACAGAAGTTTGCTCAGAGCAAAATTTCGCGTGGATAATTCATTCTCAACGGTACCATCTTCCATCATTCTAACTGCTACTGCAGTAGGAGCAGTCGGATTCTTCAAGCTCACTTTAAACTCATGGTTAAGTTTGTGGCCACATCCTTCGCTGCCCCATACCTGATGACGTCAGGTGAGGGGTAGGGGGGCATGTATTGGTGGAAATGGTTTTGTGGGGCAAGTTGGGATCCCAGGTGGGTTCAATTTGGCCCATGGGCCAGAGGATCCTCCCCCCAACTAAATTATCATAATTATTTCTAAAGCTGGCATCTTTCTATATACATTATAATGTGCAGATTTTATGCAAGTCTGTAGCCTCTTCTGTCCTTGGGGGAGAGGGGGGTGATGTGTAAGTGACCTCCAAGAGTGTGATGGCCTGGGACTCAGGCTCAGACTTGGAACCAGAGGAGACTCAGTCTGCACCGGATCCTTTGCCTCAGGCATCATCTGAACCAAGTCTGGGGCCTGATCCTGAAGAGTCCCAGTCTGCACAGGTTCCCCTGCAACAAACACCAGCTGGGCCGAGTCAGGGGCCCGAGCCTGCCCTGGCTCCAGATGTGGCGATTACCTCGTTGCCTTCAGCTGAGCCATCACTTACAGCTGCTCCACTACCAGTTTGATCAGGGGAGGCTGAGGTGGCCCCTGGGTCTAGTAACCCACTGACGTCTCCCAAGCTGCAGAGACTAAGGTCTGAGAGAAGGAGAGACCTCAGTACTCGCAGGAGGAGTGCTTGCCTTCGGGTGAGACAGGGAGGTGAGTCGCTGGGGGATCAGTACCGGCCGCTACCCCGACAAAGATAAAAGGCTGTCGGACCCCGCCCCAGGGGATTTGATTTGGAATTTGATTTAAATCAAATTGATTTAAATCACTAGTCAGTAAGACTTGATTTAAATCTTTTTTTTACAGAAAGACTCATTCTTGCTGGTATGATCTTAATATTTACAACCAGATGAAGGTTTTTGGAATAATAAGTAGTATTTACAATTTATATCAAACATTACTGATTTGGTTATACTATTAGAAATACATATACAATTATGAAATTATTGTGAGGTTTAATAAGTTAACTGTTTATATTTGGACAATTTTTCTGCTGTACTTTATTGGAAGGAGAAAAATAATCATTTCCTTAATAACAATTAAACAATTTATTTAACTAAAAGAATGACATTATAGCATCTGTATCCATGTTTGTTAACTGATGTGGTTAAACATTTTTTTAAAAGAAAACTTAGACTGAGTTTTAGCACACATGAAAAACTTGAAACAAATCCTTATTTCCTGATGAGTAGCCTTTGGACTATAACGTAACTTAAATAGAAAACTATCTTTAGAAAGATTTTTCCTCCTAAAGCATTTTATTTTAAAAATCCAATTTAAATTTAAAAAAGAATCTGATTTAAATTTTTAAAAATCATTGATTTTTATCCACCCTGCCTGGAAGGAAGTCCCATTGAATTCAGTAGAAGGTTCTTCTAAGTAAGCACGTGTAGTCCTGTTTTAGAATAAAATACTTAGGGTTACGTGACACATCCAGCCTTGCCGTGGATGTTTTGCCACTTGTGGGAGTGGAAGCAGGCTTCCATCAAGCCAAAACATGAGGGAATTGTGGGGAATTGTTGATGAGACTCCATCATCTGCAAAATTCTCATCTTTCCAAAGCCTGCAGGTGGGCGGGCTGCTATTTAGAAGAACTCACTGTAGACCAAAATGCTAACCAGCTCTTAAATTGGGACAAATATGTAATCTGTGGAGTTCTCCTCACCACTATCACCGTCATGTACTTAAGGCACCGAGTGAATCATACTTGTTTTAATGATTCAGCAATCACAGGGAGTCTGAACACCAGCTTTTGCACACGTCGGGAAGTTGCTACATAACAGGAGTTTCAAGTTATGTCACAGCAAAGCCTACCATCTCAGCAAGGGAAGAACAAAACATTTATGGAGTTCTACGTCCTTCCAAAGCACTTTGGTCAAGCCTAGGGATCTGCAACCCACCCTGTGGGCTTTTCCCAAGGTGTACCTTCAAGTGCATTTAAAAAGCAGGTTCCAATTGTAGAAAAATGAAACCTTTCTGGGAAAGAATGCAATTGATGCACCAACATGGGGAAAACCATGCAGCCTTTTCACAAAAACAGAAATGTTTCTACAGATCTGATAAATTTTGGGAAAGGAACTCTTGCAGGTAATGTTGCCCATTAAAAGGTGGGGGAAATCAAGATCTCAGAAACATGTTGCTAGCAGAAGTGGATTTTGATTGTTTTGTATTTTTGGCATTAGAGCTGTGAGAACTCGCTTCTGGCATGAAAACCATCAACATAGTTTCTAATCATTATGTGCATTGCGCAAGTGCAGGCAATGACTGATTCAGCAATGATATGACAGTCCGGTCAGGTTGACCTGGCTTGCAGTTCAGCTCTTTATGGCTCATCCTGCTTTCCCAAGTGGCTTTGGTCACATTCATACACCATCCATTTGAAGCACATGACTTCTCCCAAAGAATCCTGGGAATTGTAGTTCACCCTTCACAGAGATTGTGATTCTCAGCACTCATAACAAACTGTACTCCCCAAGATACTTTGAAGGAAGCCATGCACTTTCTTTGAGGTCCTCTTTTTCCCTCTCTCTGTCCTTTGGTTCAAACCCTTGTCTCTGACCATGTGCCTTTTCAACCGCCACGTCATACAGAAAATTACTGTGAGGACTGGAGGAAAGCTGGCAAGGTGGTGTCCCAGTTACAGGAAAAGGGGTTTCTGGGGATCAGTGCTGGACCCTCTTGCTAGGGCCATGGGTTTTAGGATTCCCAAGGATGCCAGCCACTAGAATCTCCCTGATTCATCTTCCTCATAAGAACCTTGCTTTCTGGCCAGCTCACAAATTTTATAGACACTGATTATGACCGCTACAAACTAAATAGGCTCATGTGCTTCTGTTGCTTCTACTATTAATCCCATTTCACAACAAGCTGCAGCTACTGGTAGTCATTCACATGATAGCTATCCAAATGCCAAAACCACAGATACCTTCCCTTCCATAAGGGTGCCCTACCGTAACATTCCTCCGAGTGTTCAGAACAGAAATCCATTAGAATACAATCACAACATTGCTACCCAGATGCTATTTGACATGGTTTTTAGAGTTTTAGATCTTCATGACATGCACACATAGATGCAGACCAACAATACAGACTTTGTTTTTCAGACAGTGCCTGACGCACAGAGATCCTGTAATTATTCCTCTATGCGTGAGCTCGCCTGAGTATTTCTTATAATTAAGTAAGATGCTGCTATGGTTGTTGTTCAGATGTTCTGTTCAGGGACTCCTAAAGGAAACCTGTGTGTGATGACATGGTTATATAAATATGAGTGGATGCATGTAAACAAGATATCTCTTAAGTAATCATTACTGGCTCTCTTGCTTTCTCTGCTCCACCCTTCGATGCCTTATATAACAGGCATTTGGTTTATATACTGATTATTTTATGCAAGGTTGTGTGTCAAAGTGGGTAATGAAATACATGTGGGTGTTTTTCAATCCTAGTAAAGGGATTGGCTGGTTGGCTAGAACCTGGAAAGGGTGTTATGTTATACAGCCAGGTTATACAGCAACCAATCACCTATACTTGGCCATTTTAAATAACAAAAAACCAGGCTCCTTTGGTAGGTTAAGCTGGGGTTAGCCAGTATGATGACCTCCTGAGGTTCCTGGACTCCAAACTCCCATCACCCATGACTTTGCTGGCTGGGGGTGATGAGAATCCAACATCATTGGCTACCCCTGACTTGAATAGTTCTGCTGTCCAGACCCCAGAGCCTTAGAGCCATTAAGCTGCAAGGGACTTGAAGGTCATTTAGCTCATTCCAATCCCATAGCAGGGGGGTGGGGAAGGCAGGATATAAATATGATAAGTGAATCTATGCCTAAAAGCACAAAGAGCTTCTCTCCAAATTGCCTTTCTACTGTCAATCCACATGACTTAAAAAACAAAAACATTTTTTCTAATTGGGTTTCAAGATAAGAATACAAATATAAAGAAAAAAGAAAACCTATAACCAAACTTATCCCCTGCAACATTAGAATCATAGGGAAATGACTGCCTGAGACCAGTGTGACTTGCCACAAAGCAAGTTCAGAGCTCAGTAGCAACTGGAACTTAGGTGACCCAAGTCTATGAGTCTCCACATGTGGAATCAGAGAAACCCACAACAAAACACATTCCCCTCTTTATAGACATGCTTCATTTATGTAAAATGGATTCAAGTTGCAAGAGCTTCCAACTAAACATCAGGAATAACTTTGACACTAGAACGGTCTCCCTTAGAAGATAGTGGACTCTTCTTCCTGGAAGGTTGGATGGCCACCTGTCGTGCATGATCTACCGGTAGTTGATATTCCTGCATTGCAGGGGGTTGGACTAGATTACTTTCGGGCTCCCTTTCCAACTCTACAGTTCTATAATTTCAGATATCTCCTATGTTATTTCCCCTCTCGCTCCCACATTACTTTTTGATGAGCTCTGAGACCCCTAACATCTTCTCTGCTTTGTTAGGGATCAAACAACTTCATCTGAACACTTGTTCGACATTTAGGATTAAAGATAGTAGCTTCTAATTTGCAGCTCCTGCACAGGTCTCTTCCAGTATCCTCCCCTCCCCACTTTGTGAAGCAATTTTTTTATTTTTAAAAAAGTACATACCCATAGTAGTCATTAGTTAAGAACAAACTCAGCAGGAATGTTCAAACGTGTTTGGCTAAATGTTTGATGAGCATGAGACGAGACCTTATGAGAATGCATATTATATTTCCTTCATGTGCCGGGTGCCGGGTCAGGAATCCTGACTTGCCTGGGATCCAGTAACTGTTTCTACATGTGCAGATAACCATTAGCATATGCAAAATCTGCTTCCTCTCTTGTCTTCTGTTCTGGGGTTGCCCCCAACCTTCCAGAGCAAGTTTAGGGACTGTGGGGTGGGAGACGCCGGGGGGAGGTGGGAAAGTCCCATTACACGATTGGACCATGTTCCATAATTACCTAACCAGTGCCAGAAGCCTAGCATGCATGCTTAATGCATTTTTGTTTTCTGTTGGGCAGTGGCGTAGCGTGGGAGGTGCAGGGGGGGCCCGGCCGCACCGGGCGCAACATCTGGGGTTAGGGCAAATCCACAGGTTAGGGGGCGCAAATCCACAGGTTAGGGGGCGCAAATCCACGGGTTAGGGGGCGCAAATTACTTGCCTTGCCCCGGGTGCTGACAACCCACGCTACGCCACTGCTGTTGGGCACTGTGGAGTCATGCTGAAAAAGGCTTGACAAAGCATCCGTTAGATAAGATTTAGAGTATAGATGCAGCAGTTTTGTAGCACCAGCTGGTGGCACTGCTACCTTACTTTTATAGAGCTGATTACGCCATCCTTCCTGCAACAGGGTATTCCACAATGTGAATCCTACCACAATGGTATTTATCACCTTTCACTAAGGCTAGAAGCAGATTGCTTATGAAGGGAGCATTAAGCAGAGTATTAAGTTTTAATGGAAAACAAAACAAATACACTTCGTTTTACATGCATTGAACCCAGACACGTCTTCCTTCCTTTCCAAATGCCCTGAAGACATTCTTCGGCAACTCGGCTCATGTCCTCTGCTAGTTGTTGGCTGCCCCAAATTTAATCCTTTTCCTTCTTTTTCTTCTTGTCACCACTGCGAGCCTGCAGCATACAAGAAGAGAGAATGTAATTTGGAGCTGAGGAACATTTCACAATCCCTCAACCCTCTTTCCCCTTTCATTATGGTAACCACATTCCAAAAAGCAGAGGCTTCTGTCAGTTCAAGCAGGGATCTTTTATCAGGGAAAGTTTTCATCCTCACTGCCATTGCTTCTCTTTTCTTCAGAGACACAAGTGCTTTTGCACCTAAGACCACACAGTTTCTCACTGTATCTGCCCAGAGCATGCAAATACAGGGTGATGATAGCAAGAAGGAGGGCCGTCTGGCCCATCCACCAGCCAAAGAAGGAGCAATTATAGGAAACTGCATACCCCCCCTTCCCTGCTAGAAAAAACACATTCAGCTTCAGCCGCCAGTTGCACTGGGACTTCAAAGGAATCATCTGCCGACTGACCATCCATTGGCAACAGGACTTAAAAGTGTGGTGTGGTGGTGTGGGTTTCAGGCTTGTAAATGTCCATACATTATTGCAGTCTACTGTAAGCCGCCTTAACGATCATCCAATCTTAAGGTGGGGTATAAATATGCCAATACTTCTCACAGGGGTACTAAAACCTTCATTTGGTTTGTACCACTTCAGACTGCCATTGGGTGTGGTTGGGGGTGTTATGTGATTGTGTAATTCTCCATACAGTGTTTTACGAACAGCCCTGTTTACGAACTATTCAGTTTACAAACTCCGCAAAACTGGAAGTAGTGTTTTGGTTTGCGAACGGAAGCCGAACAGTGGAAGGGCACCAGCGGTGGGAGGCCACATTAGGGAAAGCATGCCTTGGTTTAAAGAACAAGTTTTGTTTAAGAATGGACTTCAGGAACGGATTAAGTTCATAAACCAAGGTACCCCTGTACAATAAAACCCCCACAGCATAAACTGGCATGTCAAGGAGATGGATGGTTGTTGATACCACGGAGTGCCTTGCAACATGAAAGTCCCCAACTGAAGTCTGAAGTGGTACAGCCCAGACAAAGGTTTACGACCTCTGTGAAGGACTAGACCGTGTCTGCTGCTAGTACATTGGCAGTGAATACAGGCAGGGCTGCCAATTAGCTTTCCAGCAGGTCTACTGAAAGGCAAACATTTAGAAAGTGGCTCTATCTTTAACTTGGATAAAAGGTGGAGGGGAAAGTGTTGTCCACTAAAATAATATGGGACCAAATAATCATCAGCATTGGCATCCCTACCTACCTGCCAGCAGCTGAACCCCTTCCCATTCAGTCTACCAAGCATCCAATTACCTTTTCAGAATCGCTGTCTGAGCTGCTGCTGCTGTCATCATCTTTCCCATCATGCTAGGGAGCAAAAACCAAGTGATTAGACCAGTGGTGGTACAGAACACAGAACTTGGCAGTCACAGGAACATACCATTGGTCCACCTGGCTTGCATCATCTACCCTGAATTACAGCAGCTCTTCAGAGTTTGAGACAGGGGTCTCTCCCAGCCCTACCCTGGACATGCCAGGGATCGGATCTGCAGCCTTTGGCATACAAAGCGTCTTTCTGCCTCGGAGCCACATCCATCCCCCTTGCTTATGGCAAAAAACAGCTTTGTATATAGAAGGTATCAGATTCAATCCTGGTATCTCTAGAAAGGCCTGGGAAAGACTCATGGGGAGCTTCTGCTAGTCAGTATATTTGTTTCTTCAATTTCTTACCCACCCTTCCCTATAAGGACACAACAACAACATAAATTTAAACAAAATCAACCATTTTAAAAACCATCAACCCTAAACAGTCATACTTTTCAGGCAGGTCATAAAAACAACATTCCTCGGCTGTGAGGGTAAGGAGATGCGTTGTCAGCCTATGCTGAAAGCTATACAGGACTGGGTGGATGCAGTCAGAATGGGGGAAGAGAACCAGAGAACCTAAAGTGACAGATCCATCCATCCCTACCATCACAAGACATATGGCAAATTTGGGGAATGTTTTTTTAAAAAAATGTGGCCGATAAATGGGTGGGAATCTTTTGAGATTTTGAATCCTTGACATTTGCCAAAGCTTACATAAATGAACAAAGCCTACTGCATCTTGCAGGATGAGAAGGTAACTGAAAGAAGGCACCTGGGGCCGAATTAGCATCTTGACTTCAATGCATGTCGATGCACTTTGTGCCAGTCATGGACTTCTGTGCTGTGATGTGGGAACATGAAAGTGGATTCTAAAGGGTAAAAAAAAATCACTGCACTAGTTTCTAGTTTAATAGCTCACTCATCATGTGCCCTTTGAAAGATGCTACACACCCATCCAGCTGTTTTTTCCCTACATTTCGCAACAGCGTCTTTCTATCTCCCTATTAAATGCTGAGTTCTGTAGGCATTTTCCCCCATTAAAAATTTCCCTTTAGTTATCCAAGCTGGGCCCAGGTTGACTCACATACAGAGCAGGGAGGAAACAGTCAGCTGAACTGCATTGCTTTCAAAGGTCTTAAGTAAAACAAGTGATGAATCATAGCCAAATAGTGATTGTGGCATGTCATGTCTTGCAGACCCACTGTGTGGGAGCCTCACAGTTAGATAAACACTTCTTCTCAACAGTGGTTTACCAAGATGCACAATCTGAGCCTGTGTCTGTAAAAGATTCTGAGTTTTAAGCCTTCTTGCATAGCCTCCAGTCATAGGCCTTTATTCCAAACTTTCACTACCCTTCACATTCCTATATCTTTCTTCTTGCCACCTAGACTCACATTGGCACAGAGAATATAAAAGTGAAGCAACTACTGTATATATCTTTTTGAAGTGTTACACAAATAAATGAATTTTCTGATCTGCGTAAATGTATTCCTCATGGAGGACATTGGTAGAATGCGGTCAGTCCTTTGCAGCCACTGACATCACCTATAATTTGAACTCCCATTGTAGGACAAATTCTCACAAACTGCAACATCATGTAATTAATTGGATCAATGCAGCTTTACAGGAGCAGCTGCTGCCTCAGAGTGATAAATAGTTCTGCCATCTGAGCAGAAGAAACGAGCTTGCAGTAGCTCCGATGTGATGATTTCATATGGCACAGACAGTGAATGAGTTATTAAAGATTTCCATGCTACTTCATAAAATTGGATTGTGTTTACTGTATTGTTTTTTGGAAGTTGATGCATCAGGATATACAAAGCTAGCCAATGACCATCATTCTGTGGGGCATTTGGAATGGTTTTAAAAAGTAGTAGTAAACTAAATTTTATTCACAGTAGACCCACTGAAATTAATGAACATGACTAAGGTCCATTACTTTCAGTGGGTCTACTGTCACTGGTGGAGGAAGATGGGGGTAGGGGGAGTGCACTGTCCCCGGCAGCGCAATCCTGGTGGGGTGCCATCGTGGCTGCCCCCCCTGCCCATGCTGGGCACCACGCCCCCACAGGCAGTGCGCCACGCCCCCAGAACATGTGCCACACCCCCGGGATGAATGCCAGCCACGCCCACACCTACGCCTGCTCTCCGCCCCCCAGTGCTGGAGCATGAAGCTCTGCCACTGTCTACTCTAAGTAAAACTTACTTGAAAACTACTCAAAGGTTTTCAGGACATTGTACTGAGGAATCATCTGTCTCACCAAATGAAAGAGACTGAAGGTGTGTATGCATAACCATTTACTCCGACTCCAGGGCTCTCTCGCTACTGATGTTTGAAGCCATGTGCACCCTGACAATCACCAGTCTGTATCTATTTTGTAGTTTGATGTGTTTTCCCTGAAACCAGCTTACATCAGACTTCAGAGTTAAGCTGAAATGTGTGCATATGAGACATTCGCAGGTGACAACTCATGAAGAGGTGACAGCTTCACTTGAGGGACTTCACTTGAAGGGAACCAAGCAAGTAAATGTGCATTGGGTGGAGACATGCCTCCCAGCTGTAAGAAAAGCCACCTCTAATTCAGCATCCTTTTTCTTACCTTTTTCTCCTTTTTCTTTTTCTTGTCTTTCTTGTCACCCTCTTTCTTGCTTTTTTCCTTTTCCTTTTCTTTTTCCTTTTCCTTCTCGTCTCTCCCAAACACTAATGGTTATGAGATGAAAGAAAACAGAGAAACAGGAAGCAGGGATGCTGTGACGTTTACAAAGTGCAGTCAAAGATGCATCACCTTCATCTGCATTCCCCAGCCAAGAAAACTTCCAAACACTATTGCAGTGGTGGCCATCCTTGCTTTTGCCAAGTGTGCCACATGCCAAGGCTTTGCAGGTCTGCTTCTCTGCTATAGGCACTTTACCAAAGGCCCTTCAGCCTTCAGTCTAGGAATGCCACAAACCACTGTTGCATATGCCACAACTTGGTCATCCATGCTTTTTTGCAAAGATGGGGAACCTATAGCTCACCAGATGCTATTGGATGCTTCAGCCAGTATGGGAGATGATGGGAGCTGTAGTCCAACAATATCTGGAGAGCAACTAGTTTCTATCCTTGCTTTAGTGGATAGTTAAGGTATCCTCCAGATGTTCTGAACTACACCTTCCATCACCACCGGCCATGGGCCATTCTGACTGGGGCTGATGGGAACTGGAGTTCACAGCGTCTGGTGGGCATCATATTGGCTAACCCTTGGCAGTGTACTAGTAGGAAAAAAGCAAGAAATTAGCTGTACATTTTACAAAAGACTAATTCTACTCTCTGGATTTTTCACAGAGGATCTATAATCAAGTAGATGGCTATCTCTGATGGCCTCAGAACAGAAGTGAGAAGGAATATGGAAAAAGGAAAGTCAGCCTTGAGCCTTCAGGAAGCCAAGAGGACAGACCAGCTGGGCATATTAGTCTTGCCAGAAAATAGCCTGTTTTAGTTTATGAATGGCATTACACACTCATCTCCGAAGATTAGAAACTACAGGGGCAACTCAGATATGACACTGAGTATTTGAAGGCATCAGTATCGTAACTGCTGTTCATGACACTTTCTGCTCTGTTGAGATGCAGGGATCAGGTGTATTTCAGAATGCCAAACATCAGCATTTTGTCCATAAGAACATAAGAAAGCCCTGCTGGATCAGGCTAAAGGCCTATCCAGTGCAGTGACTCATCACAGTGGCCAATCAGTTGCCCATGGGAAGCCTGAAAGCACGTCCCACTTGTGGTTCACAGCAGCAGGTATTCAGAGACTCTGACAGTTGATGTAGAACTTAGCAATTGGGCTTGCAGAATGCTGCACAATTGGAAACAGGTGCTGGTGATATGAGAGAGTTTTTATTATGTTAACTTCTCAGGGTGGCCCAAGGGCTTCCAACGCTTGAGGTGAAATGCCCTGCTGCTGCCCACACAATGGGGGAACAAGTTTCATAAGAAGTCTCCCTTGCTAGGTGGTGGGGGAAATCCATTCCAGATCCCCTCCCTCCCACCGGCCAAGGGGTTTTGCATACCCTTTCAGGGGAAGCCAGTGCAAAGCCCCACCACACTACCAGGTGGTGGAACCCTTCTCGCTGACTCAGTAGGAGGGGAGGCAGTCCACAGAGCTTTGCCACTAGTCCCTCTCTGCCCCTAGAGGCCGGGAAGACCAACAGCAAAGCTGGGCTAACGGAATAGGGTAATGCTGCCTGAGAGGTGCCGCCTGAGGCAACTGCCTCACCCAGTCTCATGTAACTTCTTCTTTGTTAACAGAAGTATTCTGAGTATAGATGTAAAGCAAAAGTGACCCACCTTTCAAAATGGAAGACATTCTTCAGTCGTGATGCAGCTCTTGCCGGGAGGAAATGAAGATGTATTAGTATTTAAACCTGTTTCCTAAGGCCACACAATGCACGTTCCCAGTATATCAAGGGGACTGGTAAGGATTTGGAAGGGGCAGGAGAAAAAGACTGTGAAAAGGTTATTGGAGGCAAGGGGATTTTTACATGGGAGACCATGGGGTTGCTCCAAATACCCTGATTTAAATTGTCTTCAGGAGACTTGCCTTGAGAGAGTATATATCATCCTAGCACATACAAAAGAATCTGGTTTTGCCTGTTGTTATTTGGCCACACCCACCACCACCACTATATAACATACACGGACAGATTAGCCAGCACTGGACAAGCAAATTGACTAATTTTGTGTAGCAAAAGAGGAAACGTTTAGTTCCTCCAATTCCCCAGCTAAGGCTGAATAAACAAGCAAAACCACTACAGAGGAACTCAGGCACATAAAGTCAATGCAAATTTCACCATCCTCCATATGCTTATTTTCCTATTCAAATCTGGCAAGCCCTAACTTTTACTTCTCCTGTAGATTTGTCTCTGGGTGAAGTCTTAATCCACAACTGAGACAGCCTCTTTCTCCCCCTAAAAGGTGAAGAACCTATGCCGCAAGGCAAAATGTCCCAAACTTAGTTCAGTAAGTGATATGTAATGCAAGCAGCTTAAAATCAATAGACTCCTCCAAAATGCACATGCAAAATATAGTGTCTTCTATAAGCACAGAATGAGAATCAAGTTACATTTTCTTAATGGGAGAAAAGGAAAGCAGGTAAAGGAAAGCAACCTTACCTGGTAGGGAAGAAAGAAAAGCAGCCTTGCCTCTCCAATGTTCTTTTGACCTATGGAACTTCCGTCCCTGCCGCCTTGTCATTTGTGCTCTCTCCTCCCATATTGCAACATGGACAAGAAGAAAAACTTGTTCCACCCACCCCAGGCGCCGCACACAATCAGGGAGTGTCCTTTTCGTAGATGCTGTCCTTGCTCAGGCAAACCTCATTCAGTAATCCTGGCATACCTTCTACCAGAAAGGTCTGGCTCAAAGCAGTTAGGACAATCCTGCGTCACATTTGAGATATCTTTCCCTTATTGCTCCACAGTTAGAATTAAGCCACTGAATCAAATGGTGGTCAGCTGCAGGGCAGCCCAATACTATTGGCCGCCTGAGTCAAAGGACAGTCTTGCATCTCCCCACTCCCCATTCCACATACAAGAGCTGATTGCAGTGATAGTTGAATCTTGCTAACCTTAGGGATAGCAATCTCCTAAGGTCAACAGGCTGGTTGAAGGAGTGTAGTGTAAGCTGCAAGTCTCAGCATTGGCTTCCTCACTCTCCCTAATCATAGAGCTGCAATGGGTGAAATCTCTTGATTCAAGAACTTGTTTTTTTATTTATCAACTTTTGGGGGGGTGTCCCAGAGTTCTCTCCTGGCTCATAGAGTTTATTCACTCATTTCATTCTTATCCCACCCTTCCTCTAAGAACTCAGGGTAGCATATAAGAAATACTCCCCCCCCCCCCGCTTTGATCCTCAAAACAATCCTGCAAGGAAGGTCAGGATGAGAGTGGCTGGTCCAAGATCTGAACTAAGGATAGACACATCTCTGGGGCATGTAATACAGTCATACCTTGGAAGTCGAATGGAATCCATTCCAGAAGTCCGTTTGACTTCCAAAACGTTTGGAAACCAAAGCACAGCTTCTGATTGGCTGCAGGAAGCTCCTGCAGCCAATTGGAAGCCGCAGAAGCCCCATTGGATGTTCAGCTTCCAAAAGAACATTTCGATCGTTCAGGAGTCGATTTGTTCAGGAGCCAATGCGTTCAAGATCCAAGGTATGACTCTATCAGCATCTTTAAAGGATTGTTCCCTGCAGGCCATAAACAAACAAATATTCTGAGCTAGGCAACTTCACTGTGGACTTTGTTGTGTGCTCTAGGTGGCTGCTGCTCCAGCGACAGGTATCCCATCTGCGCAAGTGACTTGCTGGCATGTTCCTCTTGTGTTTCACTTGCAGCTTCTTTGCTTTGCAAGGGCAACCTGCCTATTTGGGTCCAAAGCAGTAATAAAGCAGAAGCCAGAGGAAGAAGCCGTTATGTTTCTTTCTGCCCAGAAATACCACTTCATTGTGAAATGTTAGGATGGAGAACTAGGAATAATGTAGTATACTATTTTATTATTAACAAAAGGCATCTTTGGGGTGTGGATTTGTATGCAGTACTATTCCTAGAATGACCTCATTCAAAACCACAAACTGTATTCAACACACCCATTCCTTTTCAGTATGACACCTACCACCTTCCCTCCAGGGTGACTATTTATCTGATGATCTGCCTTTCCATGCAGATAAATAGGTGATGTGTTGCCCACTGCTAGCATGGAGGAAATTTTTTATTATACACCGACTTCTGTTGTCACATTAGGGAAAACACAAGCACCTGTATATTTCCCTTTGTGGGGCAGACAGTTGCTTAGATGACATTTGCATCGGAAAACTACCCTCTCCTCCTTCCTGGGTACCAGGCTGCCAGTCTCAGTTCCCTCCTCCTCCAACTGAAGGTGCTTTTTTCGGGGGAGGGAAATACATTTAGGGAGAATGGAGACCCACTTGCAAATCTCCATCATCTCTTCTAATTTGACCATCATAGAATGAATCAGCCTAACCACAAGCACATGTAACACATGTGTTTCACAGGGGCAGACTTTAGTCTTTCAAATTTCAATGGCACCCTGTGCAAGGCCAAAACTCGGCACCCTCCCACCTCTCGCCTTCCATCCTGCTCAATTCACTATGTCATATATTTGATATCCTGCAGCACTCGCTAGGCTCAGCACCCAGTTCAGAACTCCTCGTACTGCCCTGAATCCGCCTTTGTGTTTCACTTTCACTACATTTTACTTTTAGAAAGTGCTTCTAGTCTTACCATTTGTTCTCAGCACTCTGAGTATTGCCAGTTGCTTGCCTGGCTGATGAAGCCCACGCTGTCAGCAGATGTTCATAACTGACGACATTCATGTCATTCATTATAGAAAATGTGGCCAGTAGCCATATTGTTTGAGGGGCCAATCATTCACAACCCTTCATTTCTGTTTCAGGTTAGAAAAATCACTTAACGTTTTTGACAGCTCCATAATATGACATGAATTCAATTTTTTCTCAGCTGTTGACAGTGGATAGATTTCCATGGAATCTACTTAACAGGCTTATTAAATCTGATGCATCTGGTCCTGCTTAGAACTCCTGTCCTTTTTTCTTTAAGTATTACATGCTGTACTTAGTAAGTCGCATACTAAACATACCAAGCTGCCCCTTTAATTTTGGAGCAGTCGTTAAAACAGAAGGGAATGGGCTTGCTTCCCTTTCCCCACTCTGATGTGATTAAGTGTGTACAGGTAGGAAGAGAGCCTACATAACAACAAGGCTTGGGGAAAGATTGTTGGACAGCTGGCCACGTCAGAAGCCATTTTTGTTTCAGGCAGTACCAGACCTCCAGCAGGGATAGGATGGGTGTAGGAATGCACAGAAGCTACAAGCAAATAGTGCTACGGAATTGCTTTTATTAGCTGCATAATAGAAAAGAGATGTTATGTGGCCTGCAAATGGTAGAATTATATTTGCATTGGGGAGATATTTCCTGCCTTTAAAACAGGAGCGGTGAACTTTTGACCCTCCAGATGATGTTGGACTCCAACTCCCATCAACCCAAGCAAATACGGCTAATGGTCAGGGCTGATAGGAGTTCTAGTCCAACCACAGGTTCCCTATCCCTGCTTTAGAATAGCACGTTCTGTCTTCTTAAATTCAAATTTACATGGCTGGTATCGCAGACATACACAAGCCTATGTTTGCTGAATCCCTACTCAACATACATCAGGTTTCCTGTTTTATGGAACCACCTTACTTCTTCTATAACATATTTGCATGTGCATTTTCTTTCAGATCAGGCCCTGCTTTTGAAAATGGTGCATACCTAAAACCCAGAGTCAACATATTGCTATGCTTTCTCACAGTATCAGATAAGCAAGTCTCTGTGTCTCGAGGGATGACATAATCCACTTTTTAATAGGCAGGTACAAGCAGGTTCGGGGACGTGGGTGGGTTAAACCACAGAGCCTTGGACTTGCTGATCAGAAGGTCGATGGTTCGAATCCCCGCAACAGGGTGAGCTCCCGTTGCTCAGTCCCTGCTCCTGCCAACCTAGCAGTTCGAAAGCATGTCAAAGTGCAAGTAGATAAATAGGTACCACTCTAGTGGGAAGGTAACCGGCGTTTCCGTGCGCTGCTCTGGTTCGCCAGAAGTGGCTTAGTCATGCTAGCCACATGACCCAGAAGCTGTACGCCGACTCCCTTGGCCAATAAAGCGAGATGAGCGCCGCAACCCCAGAGTTGGTCACGACTGGACCTAATGGTCAGGGGTCCCCTTACCTTTACCTTTACAAGCAGGTTCAACTACTTAAATGTAGAGGCTTAGAGCCACTTCCTAGACCCAGGCCCTGCTTAAGATGATGGATTACAGTAGGTTTAAGCATGCTTAACTCTCTATTAGATTGTAGCTATGGAGGGAATGGCTAGAAACAGACACAATTTGTCAATACTGGAAACTGAGAATATATATATATATTATTTGCAAAGCGTTTACCCTTAATGAACACTAGACTGTGCTGCTCTTTTTTTACATCACCTCCTCAAAAGGCGAAAGTGGCGCATTGCAGTGCTGGGGCCCCTTGGTTTAACATCTCTTGCAAACAAGCAAGATCCCTTCTTCGTTCCATCTATAATGAATACAAAGATTCTAATGCCCAAGCTCTACCATCCTCCTATTTACAAGCCAAAAGAGCATACAAACAGACTTTAAAGCTGGCCAAACGTGAGTGGCATCAAAAGCGTTGGCGAGCCTTGATTGCGGCCTCTAGATCCCGCAGACCACAGGAATTTTGGGCTCTGATAAACATAAGAGGAAGGAAGTACCCACTGACGATTATCCCTGCGCCCACATGGGAAAAATTCTTGAGTAAATATTTCTCCTTGGCAGAGGAATCCAACTCATCCACGGAATTCCGAGCCGACCATCTACCTTTGTGGCCCTCTACCGACCCAGACCTGATAATGGACTTGATATTAGATCTGAAAACGGGCAAAGCCCCCGGGCCGGATCTAGTCCCTGCTGAGGCTATTGTTGCGCAACCGAGGTGGTGGGCTGAAATTCTGGCCAAAGTCTTTGACGCAATTAATTCTACGGGGCTTATCCCTAGGTCATGGAAGGAGGCCGTGATCGTGCCAGTCCATAAAAAGGGTCCCCCTGCTGACCCGGAGAACTATCGGAACATCAGCCTTTTGTCTATCATCGGGAAAATCTATGCAAAATTCTTGCTGTCTAAGCTGTCCCATTGGGCAAACGACTCAAATTTGATTGGCCATGAGCAAGCGGGCTTTAGGAACAATTATTCGACCTCTGACCATATGGTAATTATGTATCATCTTGCCAGAAAATATTCTGCCCCGAGGCGGGGGCGCCTATGTGTCGCTTTCATAGACCTAAAGGCCGCCTTCGACAGTATCCCAAGAAACTGTCTATGGAAGAAACTAGAGAGATGGGGCATAGATAGAAGACTGTTATGGCTCATAACCCAATTACACCACGGGTCGTCGGCTAGAGTGAGACTCACACCTGCGGGAAACCTATCCAACGAGGTCCCAATAAATAGAGGTGTGCGCCAAGGCTGCATTTTGGCCCCACTCCTCTTCAACCTGTTTATTAGCGATATGAAGCTCTTTCTGAATGAGTCTCAAGCCAACATTCATGCCCCCCGCCTAGCCGATTTTCGCTGCCCTTTGCTCCTATATGCCGATGATGCAGCGATCCTTTCCTACTCTAGAGTCGGTTTATGCAGAGCTCTAAAGATTTTTGCGGCTTATTGCAAACTCAACCATCTGACAATTAATCATGGGAAATCTAAAGTCCTGGTCTTTACCAGGTCTCGGAAAACTTACAGCTGGAAGTTAGATGGAGTCCAATTAGAACAGGTTTTCAAATTTAAATACCTGGGAGTCTTTTTTCACTACAACCTAAGCTGGAAGCCA